ATGTTTACCTCTTTCTACCTCTTCTGAGAGGTTCCTCATTGGTAACATCTCATGGCCAGGACATATGGCATAATCCTAGCCAGGCTAGGTACAGCTGGATCTATGTACGTATTATGGCTTGTGTAGATGGGTCACTGACAATTGACTCATTTTGAAAAAATAAAGTTGGAAGTAGCTTACCCATATGGGCCGATTTTCTCCATAATCAGCAGGAAGAGAAATTGGAATTTAAAAAAAATTAAGAGAGACAATAGTAAAATTACAGATCCCTGTACCTGTAACTCTATCTAAGGTGAGAAAACCTGCTGTGCCAATACATCTGGAGCAAGGCAAACAAACAAAAGAAAGCACAATTCACCTGCAAAACTCTTGCACTCCTTTGTGTCTTCGGAGGTATCCTTCCGCCCTAAACTATTCACTTCAGTAGATCTCCCCCACTGAAATCAATGGAAATACAAGGTCTCCATGGATTTCAATAGGTGCAGTAGCTTTTTGCAGGCCTTTATTTTCCGAGATAACTTACTTTTTGGGACTACATCTCTGAGAGTCCCTCAGCCAGTTTCTAGAGGTACTCGTCCAAATTTCAGGATTCTAGAAGTCCCAGGGCAAAAATAGCCTTTTGCCACGTTCAGTGATTAATCATAAAACCAATGTTTGCAAACCCATGGAGGAAATGCCCATGAGTCTCCTCTTTTTTTTTTAAAGCTGGACATGGAATCTGCAAATTGTAATGGGAATTTTTGCTTGCGCAAATCTCTCAGTTCTGTTGGGTTAGGGGCTTTAACAGGAAGAATCGCTGGTGCCCTCCCACACCTGCTAGGGACTAATATCTACCTGGTTATGTTGATCTAGAGGTTTTCGGATAGCCAGTGTGGTGTACTGGATAGATGATGGTCTAGGACTCAGGAGATCTGGATTCAAATCCCCATGGAGATGTGGAAACTCACTGAGGGCATGGAATTGATAAAACCAACTCCTTAAATATTTCACTGACTTTGAAAGTCCTATTTAGGTTGCTTTACATTGGTTCTGACTTGACGGCACATAGCAATAATTTTTCATTTTATTTTTTCATAAGATTAGTGCATTTGACAGGACCCTACACAAACACACACACACACACACACACACACACAAAGACACAAAGAGAAGGGGAAAAAAGAGGGTGGCTGTGGAAAGGAGACCGTCCAGTATAAAGTTTGCTGCCTAGCTTTTGTTCTTTCTCTTTTGTGAAGCTGACAACTGAGAAAGTTTTTGAATGAAGCCCTGACAGCTATCTATTTGACAGGCTTCTGAGGCAACATGGCAGGGCCATCAATTAGCATCAAAAGAGCGCAGCATTGATGATAAGAACCCTTCTGTGCTCTGGCATGACTTAAACACCATGTTTCTTTAAGAACTGCCATGACTCACTTCCATGCAACATTCTGTACCATCTAAATATAACCCCATCGTTCCAATTCAAATAACTTCTCTTTTTTTCACATGGCTTTGTTTTGGCTTCCAGTTACTTCAGTGTTGGCTTGAATAGATTCATGAGCCGGCTGCCAAACAGGAAGCAGAGTTGAGGATTTGTCCTTTGGTGTGGGCCGTTTTTATATTCGTTAAACACACAGTAGTCTCATAAATTGGCTTTAATAAGGTATACAGCAATATTTAAAAACAATAGATCAGTGGTTCCCAACCTTGGGTAACCCAGGTGTTCTTAGACTGCAGCTTCCAGAAACCTGGGTCAGTGGTGAAGAGTTCTAGCAGCTGCAGTCCAAACATACCTAGGTTACCCAAGGCTGGGAACCACTACAAAGAGCACTAGACTGCATGTGAATTCTAGGATCAGTGGAGGTGAGTTGGAGGCACTAGGGGCAGTGAATCCAACCTGAATTTTCGTTCAAATGATAACGCTGAAATCCAAGGCAAGGAACCCATTTTGGGTACAGGAGTCAGCATCCTGGCAAAAGACAGAGTTCTCCCCAAAGGTGGAACCACCAAAACCTCATCAAAAGGGAGTCTAGTGGGTTCCAGGTTACTCAAGATTCCTGGGCTTGACACTGTAACTCTTTTTTCAGTGCCATGGTTTAATCTGGACAGTGGCAGCAAGAGATTTTTATCTGGTTTTCTTGGCTCATAGCAGCTCTTCAAGGTAAGTGCGATCTTTAAGGATAGAGATTCTAACCCTGGTCTCCTGATCTTTTACGAGGGATACTTTTTTCTGGTCACTACTGTGTTGCCCTCCAAAGACTTAACAAATACTCATTGTTTGTACTTTAAGCCAGACTTTTACGGTATTTTATTTTATTGGTTTTGTGCTGCCCGTAATGTGGTTTGCTATGCTAAGCAATAGGATTTTGGCAATGGTTTCTTCTGTCCACATAATTATCCTTGGTGGCAACGTTCACTGTTCTTCCTCTACCACCGAATCTGGAAGACATTTTCTGGCTCTCTAAAGAACTCATACTCTTTATTTTCTTGAATGTCTAAAGCTCCTTCCTTCAAACTCACCACTCCAAGCCTTACAGCTGCTACCAAGCTCTTAACTTCTTAACCTCTCTGACCTTCATTTACAATGGTGAAGAAGATGGTATGCAAGGAAAAGCTATGACTTGCTTTGAACCTTGACTTCATTTTGAACCTCCTATCCTTCTTGTAGATGCAGGTTGCTTACAAAAGCATTGCCTTCTGATATTGACAGTGGAATGACAGGTAGCAAATCCCAAGGTCGGTCCTACCATTAGGCAGAGTGATGCCGTGAACTTTGTCAGCTGATTTGGGATGCCATGAAAGAACAGCCACTTATTATTTAATCAGACATTCAGGGGATCTTCTGCTTCTAATGCCAAAGTAACTTGGCCAGCCTTAGGTGCTGTGCATCATAACTGGGTGAGGGTGGCATTCCATTTGTTTTCTCAGCAGAATAATATCCTGGGCCACACTTGACAAGTATGGAAGCTGTTGGGCCACGGGACATGCTTTGTTGGTAAGTCAGTCTGCTTGTTAGTTTGCTGCTGATCTGTTCACAAGTATAAGTAATGAAACATATATATTCTTTTTCCTACAAATGTGTCAGAGTGAGTTATCGAGATTGTAAGTGCCAGATGATGAGATGGGGTGGACTCTGGGGTACTTGAAGCTATTCTCCTCTGTGAGTCTCTGTATTTCTACTGAGTAACAAGAGGAATTTTAACCAGAACATTTGGAACTTGGCAGAAAATAACCAATCAGATCAAGCAACAGCTAACTAAGAAAGAAGTAAGAGTAGGAAGAAGGACATTAGAAAAACAAAATTTACTCCAGTTGAATCGCTCGGAAAACTTCCATGGAATTTCCAAACATAGCTTGTAATGATCCCATCCTATTGACTGAATGATCAATGATTAATTTCGAGTTATGAAGCAATTATGTTGTCTTTTTGCTCCATAGAGATATTCAGCAAACCCAGAGTGGATTTGACTATCAGGAGAAAGAGGAAGAGTTTTAGATTAAACTGCTTCAAAGATATGCAATTTGTACTTCTTGTTTTGGATAAACTCTTTTATTTATTTATTTATTTATTTATTTATTTATTTATTTATTTATTTATTTATTTATTTATTTATTTATTTATTTATTTATTTATTTATTTATTTATTTATTTTTCCTCTACAAGCATGCACTATATTAGGGACTAGGCTGGAAAGATGACCATTTCCCCTCTACACCTGGTCACACATCTGCAGCTGTTGTGCGGTGAGCTTTTGCATGGTAAAGAGGACACAAAGCCTATGAGCCCACCAGTGGAAGGGGCCCAGATGTTCCAAGCCCTGGCAGTTGTAGAGTGTGCATGAATAACAAAAACACAGGACTCAGCCACTCGGTTTTCATGCAGCCTTTGAGCTCGATGTTGCTCCCAGAACTCCGCCTGCCTGCCAGGAGCCCGAACTCCATTTTTAAATTTTGCAGATCAGCCCAAATGCAGTCCTAGAAATGGATGCCTGCCAGCACCATCATCCACCCAAATTGTAAATTAAAAAAAAGTTTCATAAGTTTCTATGTACTCTCCAGGAGGGTGGAGGTGAAGCTCACCATTCTTTCTTCAGCTCCAAGGTCTCCCAAGCACACATCAAAATGTAAGTTTTATTTTAAAATAAACTTGGCCACTACAGCGGGGAAGAGATCTTTTTCAATTAAAAATATTGTATGAAAAAAATTAGGGAAGAAGGGTCATGGGATGGAGGTGTGCACCTAGCAGACCCTCTGAGGTTACCCACCTTAAGCTTAGACCAATCGTCCATCCTCAAGTGGGGCAGAGAACACTATCTGGCTACCAGTCTTGGCAGAAGATTCAACTTCTAGTCCTATTGCTTGTTTTTGTGAAGAGCACTGGGGGCAGATGCTTTCCTTTGTCTCAAGCCATATAATATCCTGGGACAGCCCTGAGTCAGAAAGACATGTGCAATTGGTCCCGCCCATGGACACACATTCATTCATGCTACATAAAAATGGTCCACAGAGAATTGTCTCCCACTACATTTACTGTAATGAAACAAGTTGCCACTTGATAAATGGCAGTCGACATACACCCCGTGTTTTAGATATTCCAGCCAACTGCTTTCAACCAATGGGCCGAGGCCCATGACCACTCCTGATCTGACCTTGCATGGGGTACATCAGTTGGCTGAGAGAAGAGGAAAGGCTCTCTCTGTATGTGTGCATGTGGAGCAGAGAGAGAGAGAGAGACAGAGAAACATAAAGAGGGAGAGAGAAGGTGAAAGAAGCAGAATGGGAAAAATGAATGAAAAGGACAGATCTACATATGTATATACGCCAAGTCATAGTTCAGAAGATGCTTAATTATAGTTTTCATGTTGTATGCTGGGTTAAAAAAAAATGAGTCAGAATATCAAATATCATCCTTGGTAAGATGTATGGTTGCATAGAAAAGTTCACCTCGGTCCTCTTACTTCCCCCCCTGCTAGCACAGGAGAATCCAAAACTTTATAACATTCTTTATGGGCAAACATTACCTCAAAGTCTCCCCGGATGATCCCCTTCTTTTCCACAGGTTGACCAAACTGCTGGAACGACTGGTCGCCGAAGAGGACTTCCCATCTCCGACGTGCATGCGAACCACCGTTGAGGTGGTGAACGCGCTGCGTACGTTCCTCTCTGGCTTAGCAAGGATGATGTACACCTTTGGGACGAACATGCAGCCGAGAGCCACAGTGGCGCTCAGGCTGACCGAAAAACACATGGTGATAATTTTGTAGTTGCTCCCGAAATAAATGGGCACAAAGGCCAGCCAGATGATGCACGTGGTGTACATGGTGAAAGCGATGTACTTGGCCTCGTTGAAGTTGGCTGGGACGTTCCTGGTCTTGAATGCGTAGAAGGTGCAGCTTAAGATGAGCAAGCCATTGTATCCAAGGGGAGTCACAACCCCTAGGTTGGTGGTGTTGCATATCAGATACACTTCGCGGATACTTGGATAATCGTGCTTTATATTTGGGGGCTCCATGATGAAAAGGGCAACAATGATGCCGAGCTGGACGCAGATCAAGAGGAACGCGATGACCAACTGGGCACAGGCGCTCATGAAACGAGGTTTCTTGGTGCAAATTTTCTTCTTGCTGCCGGCAAGGATCCTCGCAATCCGGTTCGTTTTGGTCACCAGGGCAGAGTAACTCATAGCTGGGGAGAGGCCAATGCCAATCCGTTGAAGGTAACAGTAGATCTGTTGAGGCTTGGCAATGAGGCAGAAAGTACACAGGTAACCCAAAAATATACCAGCTAAGATGATGTAGCAGAGCTCCCGGCTTGATGATTTGACGACCGGTGTGTCGCGGTAGATGATGAAGATGGCAGTAACAAACATGGTGGCCAGGAGACCCAAGCAGGCAAAGACGACAGCTGCAATGGGCTCGGGGTCACCCCATCGGAGGTACTGGACTGGGATTAAATCACAGCCTGGTAAGGAGAAAAAGAAAGGAAAAAGAAATCAATAACTTTATGAGCAGCTGTTCTGTGCAGCAGTGAGGAAGGGGCTGGTGTTGCATTGCACAAGGGTCAAACTAGACAATACATATAGCACATTTTCAGAAGTTTGATTGACTGATTGATTTAAATTACCTTATTTTTCCATGTATAAGACACCCCCATGTATAAGACCCCCCCCCACTTTTCTAACCCAAAATTAAGAAATGTAAGTGGGGCTTAGCAAGTGTAGGGGGATAGGGATCAAAGCACTGCAGGATCGCTTTGATCCCTGCATTTTCCCTTCATACTAAGCCCCATGGGGGTTAGCAAAAAGAGGGGGAAAGCTATACCGTGACTGCATAATTGTTTTGATCCCTGTCCCCCTTATACAGCCATGGGATTGCTTTGAGCCTTTCCCCCTCCTTTTGCTAAGCTCCATGGGACTTAGTAAGCAGAGGGGAAAGCAAGAATCAACGTCATCCTGCAGCGCTTTGATCCTTGCTTTCCTTTTGCTAAGGCTTATCAAGTGGAGGGGAAAACAGGGATCAAAGCCCTGCAAGATCATGTTGATCCCTGCTTTTCCCTCCACTTGTTTTTTTCTCTCCTCAGCTTACTTCCATGTATAAGACGACCCTCAATTTTTAGTCTAAAGATTTTAGACAAAAGTATAGTCTAATACATGGAAAAATATGGTGCTGCCTTTCTCCCCATAGTGGAAGACACTTGTTTGTCATAGCACATGATTTTCCTCCTCTTTCCCATAATTAATTTCACAGGCTTTATTCAGTGCTTGACCACTGAAAGGTAAACAGAAGAAAGGTTTAATTCACATGTCTTAGTGCTGAGCCGTGCATCCTTCAAGAAATGCTATTATGGGAGGGTGACTGGTTGAAACATAGAGATGCACCTCCTCTTAATGTCTAGTTTGACCCTTAGAAATTAAAGACTGTCTTAATTTAAAGCTGATATGCAGAAAGCAGAGACTTGCTGACTGAGCCTGTTAAAAAAAGAAAACAAACAGGTTACACTATTGAGAAAAGATGGTGACAAATATTATAACAATTAAGTACTAAACCACTATGAAGGCTGAAGCTGTAGAACAGTACACTAAATTTCAAATACTGTAAGAACAGTTGTCAAATTGTTATCTTCATTGTCAGTTGAAAACACCTTCTGACCCCTTGTATATCTTGTGGTTATATTTGAATGCACTGCTTCCAAGTTTACATTCCCTGAGTTGGACACCTTGAGATGTATAAATCCATCTCACCCAGTCCTTCTCAGATTAACAGCTAGCTAAAAGTTCTTTTAAAAGATTCCTCCAAATTACTGACCTCTAACTTTGTACATACTTTTTCCAGAAGAGTTACGGTGTCTCCAGGGCAAATGTTTTATGCGAATCACTGGATTCTTTTCTAATTTATTGAAGATTTTCCATTCTGACAGCCTTCCTTCCCCAAGACAATGGAACAACCTAATAACTCCTTAATAGTTACTCTGTGGATGACATCTGATAACTTGCTTGGGCCTTAAAGTTGCTCTGGTTTGCCCACACCCCCAAAATGCCCAGTTATCGGTCTGGATAAACTGCCTGGCATTGAGTTTCTCTGAAAGTTAAAATTCTCAATCATTAGCAACACATGAAGCTCCTCGAAAAATATTACCGCTGCACTCACATTCCATTTGATGACTTTTCCAGTATAATTTGTAGCAGTGTGCCAATCATGTCTTCCTCTTAATTACTAAAACTGACACATATTTTTCTAATTAAGCTTGCCACTATGATTAGGATGAGATTCTTCATTAATAACTGACTTTTGCTCATCCACCCTTATGGAAAGAGGGGGACCCTTTGGCTGCTTACATGATTCTTAAATTGATTGTACTTCTCCTTCTTCCTCGTCTACTGCTGTTGTGTTCGCGCATTTATGTAGGTAGCACTTTCAAGTGCTTGAAGCTGAAGAAGTAAATCTGAACGCAGATGAGAAATCAATGTTTCAATTTCCAAACCAGCCAGATACTTAAACCACTAAGCTATCCAGCCAGCTTGATTACCAATAGCGGCAACAGAACAATGTCTTCTCTGATGCCTACATTCTATGGCTGACATGAAGAAAGCATAGGCCAACTCCATATAGATTCGTGAGCTCTATTCAGTCCTGGTACTGATGACAAAGACTCCAAAACTGTTTTTTAATTCTAAGTGTATTTCAACTATTCACTAGATTTGGTGGATTCAGCAAATCTGAAAAAGAACAGAGGGGACCCCACAAATCTGAAGTCCGGCCAGCTTCGCACTAACTGTTACACTGGCCTAGGTCTTTCCTTTGGTTTTACGCTGTTTATACCAGTAGGCACGAACTCTTGTATCCAATTCACAGTATTAAAAAAGAGAAGAAAGGAAAATGTTGAGGAACAAAGACGATGCCAGTCAAGCAGCACAGAACAGCGGCTCAAAGCCTGTCTGACACCGAAGAGCTGGGGTTTCATTATCCGAGAACTGTGAATTCTAATTGCCAATTGGGAGGGTCGGCCATCGGGTTTTCAGACTTCTTCAGAAGTGCTCTGCATTCTCTAGAGTGAAATTATAAAGCTGACAATGTAACACTGAAAGGTAGATATATATTTTTGATAGTAATATAGAGACAGGACAGGAGCTACATATGTTCCCTGCTCTTGTCTATTAAAGCAGGCTTGTCCAACCCGCGGCCCGAGTGCCGCATGCGGCCCAGGTCAGCTCATAATGCATCCCAGTGCAATTTTTTTTATTTTTAAAGGAATTCCAAAGTTGGCCCAGTGCAAATTCCAAAAGTTGCCGGCGCTTGCGGCCAGAATGTGGCCGGGGCATGTCACAACAGTAGAGGGGGAGAGAGGGAAGGAGGAAGAAGGGGAGGGGAGAGGGGGCTGCGTGACTGGATTGCGCTGTCCACATCTATAGGTGGACCCCCTCCTGGCCCCATATAGCTGCCGAAGTGGAAGCTGGCAGCCTCTGCTGACTGAGATCGCGCTTGGAGCAGGGCTGCGGAGGATGGCTAGGGCTGCCCCCTCCCCCATGTGGCCCAAACCAAATGTATGTGCGGCCCAAACCAGATTTTCATCTTCTAAGGTGGCCCAGGGAAGGTGAAAGGTTGGACACCCCTGTATTAAAGTATGATCAGGAAGGCGGTGCTTAACGCATCCTACAATCAAGCAGAACATGTGATAAAGGTTTGGGCTGACTAAGTCCCACTGATATCAATTGATTATGTGCTGTAGGGAAGAATCTATAAATAAAGATAAAGATAAATAAAGGCGTCCCTGTGGTTTTCAAAGATTCCGTAATTTTGCTAGTTAGGAGGGAATCGATAAATCCCATGGACTCATGGAAAGAAAAAGAATAGGTCCAGAAATAGGTCCTATGAGCAAAAATTTGGCCAAATCATGATAAGGCAGGATTTGCTAGAAAAGACAATAAAACACTAGGAGAAGTTGAAGGCAGCGGGGGGAAAAAAAGGGAAGACCAAAGATGAGATGAATTGGTTCAATAAAGGAAGCACATCCTTGAGCACTCAAGACTTGAGCGGGACTATTAACGGTAGGGCCTTTTGGGAATCACTGATTCATAGGGTGCTTATGAGTCGGAAGCAACTTGGCAGCAAATAAGAACAGCGGTTTGCTAATCTATGCATCTGGGGGGAAAATGGGCAACGGTGCGCAAAAGCTTATACAAAATAAAACATGGTTGCCTTTAAAGTGCTACAGGTAGAGATGGGAAATTTGTATTCGTCTCCTGGGAGAGACAAACACAAATATCGCTACCATAGGTAGCTGGGTCAAGTGGAAACACACACCCCCCTAGAAGAAGGCCATCTGCTTATTGATTGCGGTGCAGTAGGCATAGCCCGTCACTGTTCCCGCCTCCCTGCGCTGCGGACCAACCCAGTGAAGAGGTGGGATGATGAGTCTCCCCACTCCGCTGCTGAGCGGTCAACAGCACAGAGAGGCAGGGAAGCCCTGGACGGGCTACTTCTCTGATGGGCGCAGTGCAAATGATGAAGGGCCACGTGCACCATCCTGCAAGCGGTAAGCGGATGGCCTGGTTCCTGGAGGAGGGTCCAATCAGCCTGGCCCCCTGTGGTGGAGATACTCATATTCATCTCCCCTGGGAGACAAATACGGCTATCCCCTCTCTAGCTACAAGAGTCTTTATTGGTTTCTTTGCAATTAATAGAATAATTTCCTTAGAATCTGCTTATATCTGTTCCTCTTTAAGGATAACCCCTCTCTAGCTACAAGAGTCTTTACTGGTTTCTTTGCAACTAATAGAATAATTTCCTTCAAGTAGGCATCCTTCAGTCTCGAAAGACTACTCTGGGTCTTCCCACATATTGAGTTGAATCACATGCATTTTTGCTTCTCCTAGAGCTGTGGTTCCCAACCTTGGGTAACCCTAGTGTTTTTGGACTGCAGCTCCCAGAAAACTCATCCAGTGGTGAAGGCTTTTGGGAACTGCAGTCAAAGAACAACAGGGTTATGCAAGGTTGGGAACCACTGTCCTAGATGAAGCCTTCTCTAGTGGGAAGAGGCTTCCTTTCACAAAAAACACACACACACAAAAAAAACCCTAAATCTATCCATCAGAGGTAGAGGAAACTTAAGGATATGACCCACTTGCAGAAAAGCAAACTCATTGTGCTCAGGACAATGGGCACATCCTGAGAACCAGCAAAGAGGCCAGCCAGACACTAACGCTTGGCATGCAATTAGCAATTGGGTGAATGTTTCTTTCTCCAGTATAGTTTGCAGTCTGGCATGGTGTGTGGGTGAGAGGTGGGCTTTTCAGACTTTTCTTCCCCTGCAGCTTTGACTTTTCAAAAGATATTCACAGGATCATTCTCTACCTTGGCCCCAACTTTCATTGAAATCAATGGCTGAAGTTTGTCAAGGGCAATGTGCAGGAAATGAGATCCAGCCAAAACCTTCACAAAACCGTGAAAAACCTAAGCTCCGCA